AAAAAGCTAGGTACAAGATACTTTAATAAACAATCAGCATTAAGCGTTGCCCGTAGCAATGAAGATGAAAACAATAATTAATACTAGAGGTCCCTCAGTAGTCGAAATTCGACTATAATTAATTGGAATTGTAAGTTTGTACACTATTATGATTGTATTTTATACTTCTATAATCACAAATTTCGCCTAGGCTACACTATAAAAAATATTAATAAAGACAAACAATATTTAATCTATTCTCAATTTGACCACAGACGTCAAGAACAAAAGTTTGACAATAAATAGTATGCATGCGTGTGTGCGTCAAATACATGGTATGTAGTGTGTGTAATGTTTTCTTTATTGATTTAATGTATCTTTTATGCATTATTTAAAAAAAATATTAGCATTGTGCACNAATACATGGTATGTAGTGTGTGTAATGTTTTCTTTATTGATTTAATGTATCTTTTATGCATTATTTAAAAAAAATATTAGCATTGTGCACTTCTTCTCTATATTCTCTATAAGTGTGGAAAATTTCATACTCCTCCGTCCGCGCAATTTTCGTAAAAAGGGATACAAAGTTTTTGGTTCACGTATTAATATATAGATACTATCCAAAAAAAAAACCCGACAAATTTAAAAACGTAACATTTTTAAATGGAGCACACTATACATAATGCACCGTAAATTCTCCCGAAGCCATCCGTGAACTAACATCAAGAGGATTACGCGTTATCATTGTTTATAAAAATTTTCTTAGCGGCCTCCGCCATAAACTTAATACAAAAGAATGTAATGGACGATGGCTGGCGGCGTGCAATTTCCGCTTCGCTTCTGTGCCGAAACACAAGCGGTATATATTCCCGGGGTAACTTTGATTGTACGTCACTGACTCGTTTTGTTTACAAGAGTCGTTAGCATCTTGAATGATTGTTCGCGGTTTCGTTAGAACGATTTTTGCTGCTTCGCGAACGTGATTCAGAAGTTTTGGTGCTCAATCGAGAACGATTGGCGGAGTGATTATTTTAAATGGATCTGTGATAATTATCTTGTTTTTCTGTTGATGCTATTCTAGTTCCAATAGAAGTTAAATTAATATAAGCTGTGTGTGTTGGGAATTTTCATGTAAGCAAATATTATTGTATGTGTTTGAGTTTGACGAAGCTGCTCTTTGATAACAATATTAACATGAACAAATTACCACAACGCAAGTATACCTATTAGTAGTATCTATCAAAGATATATATGGTATAGTAATTTACTATAGTAAAATATATTACGATTGGGATTGATGTTGAACTTTCCACTGGTCAGGCAGACTATATTTTTTAAAATTCATATTATGCTAAACTTAAATAACTTTTTTAATAAATTGATGAGCAAAAAGAACTATTTTTTTTTAAATTTTGATTGCGTGATCAGAATCAAATAAAAGTTACAAAAATATACAATAATCATACCATGCTTCCCACAGACAGAAAATACTGAGTTTTTTTTGCTGGATTTTCTCAGCAGGTTGCGATTCCGATCCGGTAGTATGTTTTTCTTTTTGTATTGGAGTTTACTCCTTTAGAATCGATTTACATATATAGGCCCGGGGTATGAAAATTATGGGGACCAAAATCGTACTAGCATGTCACACGAAATGCGTTATGCGTTACGCGGCCGCGTTATTGCAGGTGACGCCGGGCTGCTGCGCCGGCAGTCCGCCACAAAGCCTCGTACTGATCGCGCGTTTCTCTCATTATTGTATTTTCATATATTTGTTAGTCGTTTGTTTTGTGTCTCGTTAATTTGTTAATAATCTGTAGTGTATCGTGTTGTCGTAATATAGAACTATTTCTCGTATTGTTTCGTTTAATTTTTTATATCCAGTAAACTCCAGTCGTGCGTCGGAGCGGACACACACACTTTTTTTTTTTTAATTGCTTAGATGGGTGGACCAGCTCACAGCCAAACTGGTGTTAAATGGTTACTGGAACCGATAGAAATCTACAACGTAAATGCGCCACCCACCTTGAGATATAAGTTCTAAGGTCTCAAGTACAGTTACAGATTCAGCGAATCACTGATATTACTAGGGTAGATGTAGGCATATCCTCTGAAGATGAGCATCTAGAGCCCAGCAGTCATGGAGAAGCCAGAATAACCCTTTAACACTACGTGCAGATAAGCAGGCCTAAAAAAGTGGGTAGGATTTTATACGATGAAAGTATAGGATATCATAAAGATTGCATCTATTTGTCTAAATAATTGAAATTCATTAACATAATTGAATAGACAAGTCCAAGGTTCGGTTAAGTTACTGGAACTAACAAATACCACAAAATGAATGTGGACGTTGCGAAATTACATCCAAACCTCATTGGATCAGAATTCATTTGCGGTAGATATAAAGAGGTATAAACATGGTTTTATAAAACTATCAAACCATGTGACATAACAAAACGCCAATGCTGAACCTATAATAAATGATTTAATAAGGGAAAAAAAATAGGAAAGAATAGTTTATAAAGATACCTAATGATCACTATCAAAATAATATTTACTTTACTTTAATTTACGTTAACGTTAACGTCAAGACCCGTCTGTCTACAATCTGTATGCAGCGTCTCCTCAAGTACTTCGGACACGTGGCCCGACAAAATCCTGAGAACTTGGAAAAATTAATAGTTGTGGGTAGGTCACGTGGAAGGAAAGAGAAGTCTAGGAAGATTGCCAACCAGGTGGACGGACATTATCAAGGAGGCCACAAACACCAGCGTCCCGGGCGCCATTAAGCAGGCCGAATGCAGGCAACATTGGAGGAAGCTGGTGCAAAAACTGGACCAAGGTGGTCACGACCCTCAGTAATGAGGAAACGACAAAGAAGAAGAAGAATTTACGTTACTTTAATGTAAGTCGAGTTTACACATAATCTTACTGGTGGTAGGACGTCTCGTGAGTCCGTACGGGTAGGTACCACAACCTTACCCATTACTGCCGTGAAGCAGTAATGCGTTTCGGTTTGAAGGGTGGGGCAGCCGTTGTACCTTAGAACTTGTATCTCAAGGGGCTCAAATATTATCTATTATTTAAATTAAAGATAAATCTCGATTGCAATCCGTAGTAATTTGGATGAAAACGATCTGAATACAAAATTTTATGAGCCGCAAAATGGACGCGTTGAGAAAATTAGATTTACGATAATTTCGTGGTTTTTATTATGCAATACGTTTGGTGGTTTTCCTGAGCGAGAGACTATCTGAGTTTTACTTAATTTTGTGGAACTTTTTTGCCTTAATATACATATCGACGCTTGAAAGGCAAACGTGACTAAGCGACAATAACTGCTTTGTACATAAATGATAGGCAATAACCATATTCGATGCGCAAAAAAAATATATTTCTAGGTCTATTAAAATCATTTCAATCCTACAGCTAGATTCGTTAAAACAGAATTTTTTTCAGGTATTTCAACTTTAAATTAGTCTACTGTAAAGTTCACGCATTGTCGGTTAGTCACGTTTGCCTTTCAAGCGTCGATATGTAATAATAATGTTTAAACGGATAATATATACTTAAATCTTAATATTAATAACATTGTAAATCGGTATTATAAAGTTATGTAGGATGTAGGACCTATATGTTGTTTATTGTGTTGATGACTTATTAATTATTGCGATTTTTTTTATTGCTTAGATGGGTGGACGAGCTCACTGGCTAGTTACTGGAGTCCATAGACATCTACAACGTACATGCGCCACCTACCTTGAGACATGAGTTCTAAGGTCTCAGTATAGTTACAACGACTGCCCCACCCTTCAAACCGAAACGCATTACTGCTTCACGGCGGAAATAGGCAGGGTGGTGGTACCTACCCGCACGGACTCACAGGAGGTCTTACCACAAGGTCAAATTATATTTTAGTGGAGCGATAGGTATTGTAGAACAGAAAACTTTTTGACAGCCTTTTGCCTGAATCGCACTAAAGACATTCAAGATAAGCTTGCGTTTATACAAATTTCGAACAATAAAAACTGTCGCTCTTGCAGGCAATTTCAGTGGATGATGTTTCCTATGCTTATCCAAAGGAAAATTTGAAATACCCATGGTACAAAATTACTACGGAGATAGAACGTTAAAAAAAACGACTTCCACACTTACTCAATAGTTTACCCGAGGACATAAGACGTGAGCCTATACTTGCTAAATTTATAAAGCTTATTAAAAAAACATTTGTTAAATACGTTGTAACCATTTACGTAAATTAATTGTGTTATTATAGTATAACCTAGTTTAATGGTTTATAGGCTATGTTTGTATAAAGCGAGTTACCTGCAGTCAAACTGCGTAAGCAGTTTTGCGGGGCATGTTTTGAATGTAAGTGTAACTTTTTACGAATAATTTTTTTTTTTACTAACTATCACGCCACGTTAATTGGTCCCGTGCTAAGTTCGTAAAGAACTTGTGTTACAGGTACCAGATAACGGAAATAAATGTAATATTTTTATTATACACATACATAATATTTAATATACAACCATAACCCTGGAAAAGACATTTATATTTATCATATAAATATCTTCCCTTGGCGGGATTCGAACCCGCGACCACCTTGTGTAGTGACCATGTCAATTACCACTACACCAGACGGCCGGATACATACATTCCTCCAAACTGACATGACACACCCAGACACACAAGTTTCTAAGAATATGCGTAACAACATACAATATAAAACTCCCATTTAAAGTAAATATTTCAATCGCACATAGCTTATTCTCTCGCGTACAAATGGTTGATATCAACTTCTACGACTGACTATGAGAGAGTAGAAACTCTGGTAGGACCTCTTGTGAGTCCGCTCGGGTAGGTACCACTGCCTATTTCTGCCGTAAAGCAGTAATGCGTTTCAGTTTGAAGGGTGGGGCAGCCGTTGTAACTACGAGTTTACTAAGACCTTATAACTTATATCACTTAACTTAGAACTTATATCACTTAAAATACACAAAACAGTCGAACTCGAGAAGTACCTTTTCATTGAAGACGCCGGAGCCGCATTACAACCTGCAAAACAAAAAAACAGCGATGAGTGTTTTGATTCTGTATTCACAAATTGAGTTTTGATACTCGATACTGTTTATTTATAGTGTGAGCCCACTGAGTTTCTCGCGGGATCTTCGGTGGTAGATTCCAGTAAGCCACTTAACACCAGGCAATATAAAAAAAAAACCTTAAAAATGACCGCAATGCGATATGCAATGCGATTCGTAGTGCCTCAATCGATAAATAAAATATCTAAACTTTTGTATAAAATAAACTTAAAACAAACAAAAGGAAACCGTCCGACGGGCGACGCATCAAAGGAAAAACAAAATTGTTATTTTTATTTAATTACGAACATTTTCATTCATTTATCTACCTTTTAAACCTTCTCTGGACTTCCACAAATAATTTAAGACCAAAATTAGCCAAATCGGTCCAGCCGTTCTCGAGTTTTAGCGAGACTAACGAACAGCAATTTTTATGGATATAGATAGATAGATTAGCGACTCTATAAGCAATCTGTAAAAAAATGGAGTTGGTCGATTGACAATTTAAAGTCTGGCAAATCCGCAAATTCTGAACAACGCTACAGATATTGAAGTACTACTCAATAAAGATACACCTAGGTGTATTGACTTTCGGAAGATCTTATATTTGTAACAAAATGTCCAATAATGTTGAGATAGCAAATATGTCACAGCTACTGGGCAAACTTTTGAATAATACCATAAATAATAAAAATTCCTTTCCTATTCTCAATCCACATTAACACTATGCGTACTCTGATACAGTTCGACAAGTCCAAATTAGAAAGATTCCCACTCTATCACGCTTAACCGCACTGACGTGGTCTCCCGTCTCTCTCATTCGCCAATAATACCGTATCTCGGTCTCTTTCTACGCTGTAGCGGCACGAACAGACGTGCATACATACAAAATTAAGCAATTATAGTTAATTTCGTGGAGTCGTGTTAGATAAAAAAAAATATGTGTTATTTTCAAAGGTAATTTGTGTGAAGGTATCTTGAACAGCTGTAAATTATATGAGAGAGATTATATTATGCTTTTTACTGTCTCCCTAGTTTTGATTAACAATGCACTCAGGTGATATCTTTTGTTTTTCAAAATAAGTGGAACTTCACTATGTGTGACGTCATTTGGGCCTAAAATAACAGGGTTTATTATGATTCACAACAATAAAGTCTTATCATTATCGAATGTCAAATAATTTTATTCTATGGTTAAGAGAGGAAGGACTATTTTTCTTGATACTTTGATTGTTTATGTAATTTAAGCGTCTGTATAATTGAGAATAAATGAAGAGCCAAGACTGCAAGAGCCAAGAAGTTTGATTAACTACAAAATTCGCACAATCCTGACGACAATGGAACAATTTTATTTGATGTAGAAACTAGACCTTGGCCACTTGTTAAGAAAGTGTTTTTTTTTATTTATTTATCTTTGAACTATATTTCTATATTGTTCTATATTGTTTTATACAATTACTTCGAACGAAAATCATTTCTTAAAAACAAAAATCAACGATTGATATAATTAGATACCTTGTTACCTAAATTTTTTACTGCTTTGTTTGTGCGGTGACCTCTTCAATACTCGTTCGTATATTTGAATATATTATTGCTTTAATTAACGTTTATGTTGACATCACAACGGAGTTATAGTTTATGACGTACAGTTTTGGCCACACTTAGTCTCTTTCCGTGGGTATCGTAAGAGATGACGAAGAGATTTATCGGAGAAGGCAGCAGCGACATTTACTGGTGGTACTGTTATATTACCCCTCACGGAACGACCACCATCCGTCATGCGGTTCGGAGCTAACCAAATGACCTATTGAAACCTCATGTCTTAAGGGCCAACCTCTCGGCCAACCTGCCAACCTCCCGGGTGGCATAGACATTATAATGAATGGTCTCTGCGTGGTCTCTGGTACCGGTTTGACTTTACACACTTTTTATTTAATGGCTCGAGTTTGTCGAATGACTCTGCCAATGTCGGGTAGATAGAATATCAGTGATATAGTTAAATGATAGTAGATGAGAAGAATGAGAACGGTTTGACTTTAGGTTGGCCTTAATCTTGTTCACTTGGTTCCATCTACGCAATAATCTGCTGAGAAGTTAGAGGAAGAGTTTGTTAAAAGTGATGGGTCAGCCGATCTGGCAGGCGATTGGCGTATTTTAAGCCCACATATTACAATTTATTTATTTGATTTAAAGTGTCAACCATACCGATGCATTAAACACAATCTTATATCTAAAGTCAGGCGATGTGGGTCTCTGTTTGCTTTGATAGCTGCTTGACATCAAGGTGGGTTATCAGCTAATCCATAAATTAACACAGAAACGAATAAGGTTCAAAATCGATATGAACAAATCACAAGATATCGATAGATGTAGCGAGCAGTCATTTATACTAACAATCAATCACATATCACTGGGCCGTAAGTAACCGTTGTCAAATCGAATTACTATTTGATATTTCGATTTTGTTCGTTCGTAACACACACACAACACTAACGACAAATGTTTTAAATATTAAAGTTTTACGTCCACCGAGTAAGTAGTGTCGGCGACAACGTTGTTATAAATTGAGATGATTTTTTTATGCAAGCATTTTTATTTGAAAACCATGAAATGTCCACAAATTTTTGTAACGTTATAAGCATAGATACTGTTTTATATTAGGACACGGGTGAACGAACTCTGGACCCATAGACGTGATCTGTGGTTACATGAGCTCATAGGGATGGCGGTGGATACTGACTACCCTTTGTGTGTAACGGCTATCCTAATATTTACACTGCAAAAATAGGCATGATTCTGAGACCTACCTATGCGGTTTTAGAATCACCCTACCACTAGTAAAATACTATTATTATTTTTTGGATGGAATACGATTATTCATTAGGATATTGATAGCTTGAAGCCTGTTTTACCAAGACAGCTGGGCGAGCACAAGATCAGCCGGGAGGAGTGAGATTTGCTAACAGCTATCCGTGTACCCCCGGGAGAGACGTGGCACCTCCCTGATCGGAATTGCGACCCACTAAGAAGATTCGGGCCTCAAGAAACTCAGCGGCCTAATGTATGGGTTAGGTTTCTAGTCAAACTCTTCTTGTAAAATGATACCTCAACATCTCAATATGCAAATGTACAGAAATCGTTGCAAGCAAGCACTGGTATCAATGGGACTATTGAGCCTATGACCTACTGTGTATTAAGTAGATACTGGAAGCCGTAAACACCAAACGTATTGTAAAAAGATAGGACTCTTCAAATCGGAAATTTACACTTAGCTTACTTACTATGAAGTGCGACCAAAACTATTCACAATTGAGAGAATGGGTTACAATTTCGTTTACCTATAGAGTTTTTGGCCGGCTGGCTTAAAAAGCTAACTTACTTGGGCTGCATAACCATACAATTTCGATAAAACATATTTTTTGTAGAAACAAATATCATTTTATTTCAAAATGGGTATTTGAAAATGGTTAGATAGGTACTAAATTTGGAACTGGTTTAGCGGCTAATACTAGATGGTTATGGGCATGTTGCGGGACTATCGGTCCCGTCAAAACCAAGTCAAAGTCACACCTAACGGCAGTTGATTCCGACACGACACTCCACGTCTGCGTTTCATTATTTGATTGGACGTTTTTCATATAAATTGCCGCGTAGACTCCGCCTAGTGGTGTAATTAAAAAACATAGATCATTATCGTGAGGTTTCCGGAGTGTTTTTGTTTTGTTTTTCGAAAAACGTATTATCGTGTCGTGTAGTTACGGGGTCAGCGTTATTATTAATTACTTTTTATTGTTTTTATTACTTCTATTTTCGAAGGGTGGTTTGTTATTAAATTAGCTATATAATTTAGATTGATGTTTTCGTACGCGCAACATTAAGGGGTGAAAAATAGTACTAGCTGTATTATTGTAAGTTGACTGTGGACGTTAGCCCTCTGAGTTTCTCGCCCTATCTTCTTAGTGGGTCGCGTTTCCGATCCGGTGGTAGATTCTGCGAAGCACTGCTCTTGCTAGGGCCAGTGTTAGAAACACTTCTGGTTTGAGCCTCGTGAGCTCCCCTACATGTTAGGGTGAAGCTGAAATAGCCTATTAAGGCTATCAGCATAGGTATAGAATAAATAATAAAGTGGAAGTTACTGATTCAAATTTATATTTGGAATTGTACGTATCGATACAGTCTTCTTCTTAGATTGCGTATTGCACACGAAAAAAAGATTAAGAGTAAAATATACTAATAAAAAAATTAAGTAAACTATACAGTGGCCACATAAGTCTCTATTATTTGGATAGATTGTCTAAAATTTTGGCAACCTTTCCTATTTTAAGCTTAAATGTATTTGACCTTTTATTGTCTTTAGTAAATTTTATATTTATACATTTGTTGTATCCATCCGCAGAATTGGTGTGGTTTGAATAATCTCATGCATTGCACTATCCGACTTTGAATAAATACGATCTTTATGTCACACTAATTGTTTATTATAAACGAGATCCAGTTTTTCCAATTAAATTGAAACTATGGGCTCTTAATATGTAGCTTGATGGTACCTTTTTTATTTTTGGTAGGACCTCTTGTGAGCTCGCACGGATAGGTACCACCACCCTGCCTATTTCTGCCGTGAAGCAGTAATGCGTTTCGGTTTGAAGGGTGGGGCAGCCGTTGCAACTATACTTGAGACCTTAGAACTTATATCTCAAGGTGGGTGGTGCATTTACCAGTAACCACTTAACACCAGGTGGGCTGTGAGCTCGTCCACCCATCTAAGCAATAAAAAAATATAAACCTAGAAATAGAAGGCACGCGTCATAGTCATTATTATCGCGAACATGCGACCTCTCTAAGGCGGCGCAATGTACCATACCAAAGTAGCTACCGATGTAACAAAATACAATACGTATTAGAGACACGAGTAACATTATACAAGCACGTGTCACAAGTCACAATACCGTTCCTTATCGCGTCTTGATGAAT